ACCCCAAATCAGAAAGGACAGTGTTGCAATGCTAGAGTTCATACAGGCAGTAGGCACAAGCCAAGTCTGTGAGGCAAACATGGATTTGGATTGGATGTCACAATTACGTGACAGCTCTGGATGGGCATAGCACTAGAGTCAGGGCTAACACACAGAGCCTAGGGGATAGGAAACAAGGCAAGCGAGTTAAGACTGGTATGTGACCAGCCAGATAAATTTTCATGGAAGTGTTCTATTACAAAAGGGCTTTTTTGAAAAGGATGGAGACCTGTCCCTATGGCCATATAGAACCTCTTTACTCTAAAGAGCCTGGCCATAGAACCTGGATTGTGACAGAATCCTAAAGAAAACTAAGAGGCCAAGGAAACGTCTGAATTAGTACAAATAGACTTGAAAGCAATCAAGTCCTTAAACTTTTTGACCATGAAGACCACCACTTCTCCCATCTCAAGACCAACAGGGCTTGTGTATTGTAATGAGAAGGTAGCCTGGGGTGTGGCAAACCTTTAGGGATGCTGTCAGCTACAGAAGCTGGGGGAAAGTCCCTTATCATAGGCAGAGCATGGGATCCAGCATGCATGACCCACAGACAGGGTCATCAAAAAAGATGGTAACAGGTGGTCCACTAGGGAGTTGAGGGGTGTGGGGGATCAAAAACAGACTCTAGGGATTCCTTGAACAACTGGGGAGGAAAGGAAGAATTCATGGGGAGGTCAGTGTGCAAGCAGCCAGACCCTTCACTGCCGAGCCACAATACAAAGAGAGGACTTTAGACCTGAGAGAAGGCCAGGCCAGTGCAGGCTGGTCCTGAGTCTTGAAGAGCCCAAATGTTGGGCAAAGCCTTGGACACAGACACTCAGACCGCAAATGCTAAAACAGGGGTCCATTTCCCTGAATGAGGTAGAGACCAAACCTCAGGCACAAGAGAGATGCCCAATTTTAGAGTCAATGCACAAGATCAGATCAGATCATACCCAAGGGTTACGCTGAGTCCCAGAGTTGCTTCATTTCCTCTGCCTGAGGTTAGGATTGGTTCTGGGCTCCCCCTCGGGCTGCCAGAAAGTGGAAGTGGTGGATAACTGCCAAACTGCCAAGGTTGCAGGGAGAAAATAACTACAGAGTCTGCTTTGAATACAAAAGCCTCTTAACCCATGTAAAGCTAAAAAAGGAAACTATACAAACACTCTTCCTAGAAGCTGTATTTAGCTAACAGGCACAGGCTAAAAGCAGGGCTAACTCAACCAAAATTCCATTTAGTTCAACACTTCCTCTGGAGAAACCTCTGAAACATTGTGATGGGTCCTTCCTGCCAACACAAAATATATTTGACTACACTACACTGCAACCTTTCACTAGACTGTATTAAAAAAAAAAAAAAAGAAAGAAAGAAAGAAAAAATCACTTGCTAGATGTGGCTGTAAAAACCAGCCAGACCAATTAAGTATGTGGTAGAAAGCTGAGAAATATATGAACAGGCAAATTAAAGGGAAATTTGGAAATAAATCAAGAGAGAGAGGAGAGAGTGTGCATAGCTTTCTGTACTGACAGTGGGCTCGGGACAAAGAAAGAATGAAGGCTTTGTCTCCTGCAGCTCTACTGGTAATAAAACAACAGAGAAGAAACAGTGAGAATCAGCAGCAGATGGAGGTGCCATACTTCAGCTAAGGATAAATCCAAATGTGCTGCTAGACCAGTTGAAATCTGAGGAGGGTGAATAGCTTGCATTGATGCTGAATGTTTTCATGATCATCGCAAAGCTGCAACTGTCCGGAACCTCACAGATGTTATATTCCTTTTTACTTAGAAAAAAATATATTTTTGATGCATTGACAGGAGAACTTGTCGCAGAGTCCTCCCTCACCGTCAGCACTGACTGGGACTGTGAACCCATAGATGTGCTCACCTTCAGTTCCCAGATCTGGGTTTGTGATCTGCACTCTGAACCTCAAGACTGAGGCAGACACACTAACATGGACATACCTAGAAGAGCAGCAAGTGATGTGCAATTAGACAAACAGCTGCCGTGACATTGTGGTAAACTGCTAAAGAACAGATAATGTTCTGGAGAATCAAGGTTGGTGCAGTGTGCATCATCTTTACAAGGCATATTAGTGGTGGCATTTTGTGCAGAGCAGTCCCTAGGTAAAGGGCAGCAGCACTCATTGGAAGGAGAACTGGTAGACCTGCCATGCCAGCAGCTTCCCTGATTGCTACTAGGTGATGTTCTGAGTCCTCTGTTTGGCCACTGTTTCTGGGCCTTTGAACTCCCACAAGGAAAATTCTTCTAGTAAAATTGACATCAGGGTCCTTGTCTGTCTGACCTCATCCGCCACCCCCACTATCCCTTACTGCAAGTCCCCCAGCTTTGGCCAAACCTGCCTAAGGACTCTGGGAAAGCATGCTTCCTCTATCAGCCCACCTCCACCTCCACCCACACCTTCACCTCCACCTCAAACCACAAATGCTTGTGTATTTAACAAGGAGCTATAGCCAACCTGTACTGCATTTACTCTGTGGTAGGCACTCTGTGAAGATCTTTTGTATATTAACTCAAGTAACCAGGATGGGTGAGTTCTTGGGCAATTATAGACAGAGGTAGCTGAGGACCATGGTGGGGCTCTAGTGGGGGGTCCACAGTCAGGTGAAGATGAACTGCTAGTGGGCTGAGCAGTCAGGAAATGGAAAACCATAAGTCCTCAGGCCACGGAAGTCAGGGAAGGAGTGGAGGTCCAAAGGCAAGACATGAAGATCAGGTGAGAAAAGAGAGAAGAATCAGCTGCTGAGCCAATGACCTTAGCCTACTTATGTATAATTCAGGGTCTCTGTGGTGGTGGGGATGGGGCAGGGCAGCTATTGCTGTGCATTAAGAAGAGGAAGATGAGATAGAAATGACAACAGTGTGCCCAGTGCTTTAGGGACGTTAGGCATAAAAGGACAAGGAAATAAAGAAATTTGAATAGGTCTCGAAGTTAGAGGAAAGTAGCATTTGATTGACCACCTGCTATGCATAGTGAATACATTCTTTCATTTACAACTCAAAATAATCCTAAGGGACTATCTTTGCTAGCCTCCTTTTCAAGGTGAGGAAGCCAAACCTTAAAGAGTAATGGTTACACAGCTGGAAAGTGAGTGGGTGGGAAGTCAAACTAGGTATGCTGGGCTTCAAGTACAGAGTACATTCCACTCTAGTGTGCTTCAGGAGAATGAAGTTTGAAGAGACAGGAGGAGAAATGAACAGAAGAAGAAAATGAAGGCACTAGGGGGAGATGGGCTGAGAGTAAGAAAAGACTGCATCTTCCCTGGCCGACTCAAACTTTTCCTCCAGCAAGAAGCCCTTCACGGTGGCAGGGCGTGAGAATCTCCTCTCCCCTCACTGTGCTCACTTTATCAACTACTGCAACTTGACCAGTTTCCTGTCCCTGGGCTTCCACAGCCCCTCCCCCCACTGTCTAATCAATGCTAACCTTTTCATTGCTAAGTTCTTTGATCCTTTTATCCCCACTAACCACTCCCCCCTTAAATCAGACTTTCTCTTGGTCTCCTCGACATTGCGTTCTTGAATCATCTCTTATTGTTTGGCCAGTCTTTCCTTCCAGGCTGCTGTTCTCTTTGCCTGTCCCCTAATGGTTGATGTTTTCCAAGGTTCTCTCCTTGATCCTCTTTCCTTCTCTGTACTCATGCCCTTGCATAAACTCATCAACTTCTCTGGCTTCAGTTACCATCAAGGCCCCTAAATTAATTAGGCTCCTTCAGCTCTTCCTCCCCACCTCTGGATTGCAAGAAACAGTTCCATTGCATGTTTCATAAATGCTTTAAATTCAAAATGCTCCAAGTTTTCTTCCAAACTGCGGCTCTCATTTCTTTGTAAAAGCTTCCAGACTTAGCTCCCTGAAGTTGTGCAGAGAAGATACAACCCTCTGGATTGGAAGATTCTACATGTTTGTACCTCAAAATCCCAGAGGCCCCAGATTGCTGAGCTAATATGCCTCCCTCCCCAAATAGGGAGGTATCATTGAGTGTCTAGTTCTTGAAATCCAAGACCGCTAGCTCAGTCCTTAGTTGAAATAGGCACCAAATGTCATGGTAGAAACATAAAGCTTTGTTGACCTTTCTGGCCTCCTGGGAACAGTCTCATGCTTTAAGAATTGTTGCAAAAGGACAAAGTGAATGTAGTTCTTGGAGATCAAAATAGAAATGTAGACAAAAAGAATTGAGATCACAACATCTTTTGAATAAGGAACCAAGCTAGTGTCCAGGCTTCCAGAATTAATGGGGGCAGGACAGTGAACCACACAGTTCCCCATTTCTATGGAGTCGGCAGCTTGGATCATTCTGCTGCTCCAGTTGTCTTCCATGCTATCTCCCGCAAAGTTCCTCAAAATGCCCCGAAGTGCACCACCAAGCTAACGCCCCTTTGCCTTCCTGATATCATGTTTCCCCAGGCCTCATAACTGTAAAATCAACACCTTGGGCCCATTAGTAAAAGGGATATTTGGAGAACTGCTGAAAACCAGTAGGTGTTTAATAGTTATGGCTCTGGAAGTTTCCTGAGAAGGGAATTATTTAGTCCACTTTCTCTGTCCTGCAGAGCTTCTCTTCAACAACTCTGGGGCCCAGAGAGACTTCTTAGCCAGACCCCTGGGGCCTGATTATTCACCCTGCAGGATAACTGCAGTTTCCCCTCTTGGGTCTCTGCAGAGTTTTATTGTCTAATATTTGTCCTCTGGTTAGGACTCCACATTTGGACGTTGTAAAGTTCATAAAGCCCTGTCCTCCCAGTACCCAAACAGTGCTTGACTTGTTTTGGAGCTTAGCAGACAGAAAATGTGCTGTGTTGCCCACGGTGTTACCACAGGATCCTAAAGTAACCTGAAGCCCCTAAGAGACAGTTTTTGTTAATAGGACGTATGAGCCTATAATGCTGATTATGAATTAATGTTATAAAACTATCTCAACCAATTTTTGTCATTTTTCTAGTGCACTTTATTAGTGCAATTTACCTTATTAAGGAAGATTGGAGGTATCTATTATTAACCCAATTTCTGATCTAAGTAAGGCTGCAGAATCATTTGCATTTGAATCTTGATTCCCAATTCTCCTAATTTCAAAGACAGAAGAAGAAAGGTAGTAGATCAGCAGGTATTATCTCAGAGGCCAAACTCCTTCCAATAATTCCTAGGGATTGTGTCAGCAAAAGGAAACTCCCCCCCCCCCCCGCCTCCCCCCCCCGCCCCCCCCCCCTCGCCAATCAAAGTGACTAAATGACATGACTCAGGGGCTCCCAAAAGCCCACTAATTCAAATTAAAACCTCCTCTCTTTCCCTTCCCTCCTACCTAGGCATTAAATTCATTTATTAGAGCAAAAGAATTATTTACAAAGGTAGCTTGTTAAACATCATATGTTTCCTAGAATGATATAGAGGTATTGTGATATCATGAAAACCCTTGGTGAGTAAATCCCAACAGGATCCAAATCCTGGCTCTTGCCAACAGTGTGAGCATTAGCAAGTACTCATCCTCTTGTTGTTACTGAGAGACCTAGAGGAGGCAACACAGGTGAAAGCCTCCTATATAGCTGCACCGAGCCTGGCCCATCATATATATCCAATGCATTATCATTCCTGTTGCAACCTTATGCTGTCCAGGAAAGAAATGCCTAAGAACTTTTTAGAATTCTGGGTATAAAATACATGTAAAGATAGTAAAAAACAAGCAGCTAAGCAGAGAATGTTTCCATATGTCTGGAAAACTTGAAAAACAGGGAATTAATTGCCTGGGAAATGCCCCCAGGCAGCTGCCAGTAGCCTGGGATCAGTGGGCATCTGAAACTATAGAGGAGAGGGCAAGGAACAAAGCAAACTGCCAGCTTTCTCCTCCCCCAGACCATCCTGCTGCCCAGTATCTCCTGTGAGGCAGACCTGGCATCACTACCCACCTGTCTCCGTGAGGTCCTTCTGTCACAGGGGCCAGCTCAGGGCTTTCCTAGTCCCGGTGTGGTCTCACCCCCGGACAACAGAGAACACAGTCTGTCACGCCCAGCTTCTACTCTCACTGTTCTCAACGCATTTTCTACATGGTGGCCGGAGTGACCTCTCCAAAATGAATATCTGACTACTTACTCTTCTGCTAACAAGGAAAGCCTCCTTCAAACATCTCAGAGAATTTATAAGGAAACAAAGTTATTGTTAAGGTAAACTCAAAATAAAAAGAAATCAACTTACCTTAAGGAATCTATGATGCCTCCAAGTACTCTGTAGACAATTGTGCTTTCTGTACTAGAGGTGCAAATGAGGCAAAAGGCATCTCTATAGTTTCACAAGATGACACTTACATGACACATATTTTTTTCTCATTATGAAAATCCTTTTTATAATGTACAGTACATTATAATGTACAATAGCCGTGGACTGGGTCCTTTTCAATTCTCCCAGCGTAAGTAATCTTTAAAGTTCCAGAAACAAATAGGCTCTTCTCCTCCCTCCTCCCTTCCTCTCCTTCTCTCCACCCTTTTCCTCTTCCTGTCCCTCCCTAGCCTGTTTTCCCCTCCCTTGTCCTCCACCTCTCCTGTCTTCCTTCTATTTTCCCTCAGATCTGCTTCCTTTCTTCTTTGAAACTTCTCCTTAAAACACTGAAGACACAAAAAGCTTCCGTGCCTGGCCCTGGCTTTTCCTAAAGACCCTTCCAACTTTGGGATTCTCTGGCTCCAACTGCTCAGACCACATTACTTTCTTTGTCAAAAGGGTGAACCCATACTCTCACCAAGTTATCAATCCAATAGGAGAAGTTTTCCTGTAAATATTGTCAAAGATGGTACTATTTTCTCCATGGGTCAATTAATATAAAGAGATTAATAGGTTCAGCAGAGATAAACATATGCTGTTAACTAAAGTCCACATTCATTCATGAATTAATTTATTTACACTTTCCCATTTATTCTTAATGGAGCCATGTACTGGGTTTTCTGCAAGAACTCCAGCCTTGGGCATTCTTTGTCTGGTAAAAGGATGAGACCCTCACGGAAGTAACTACAATACAAAGAAGGCAGTGGGTAATATCCAGAGAAAAGCACAGAGACAGTGCTGCATTTTCTCACGGGGCTCTGATAAGGCTTTAGAGCAAAGCTGAGCAACCCAGGCAAATGCTTGCCTTTCTCTGCGTTATCCAACTTGGACACTGCATTTATCCAGCGCTCACTGGGTAATTGCACTAGCTGAGCCCCTGTTAGGCTTTCATCTTCCAGGCTTAGTCTTGGGGAACTAGCACACGTCAGATGTCTGGTCTGCAAGATAAACTAAAGAAGCAGAAGTCCCTGAGCCTGGAATGAATACACACGAGATTTTTTTAAATGTCCAAGATGATCCTGACACACACCAATGGAGTCACATTGCAAAAGTATAACAGCTTTCTTCCAGACCAGGTGCTACTTAGATGATAGGGGTACACCTTAGAATGCCAGGTGGGTAGGGAGGCAGAATATTAACAGATCCTAGGCTAAATTTTGATACATTTAGAACATTCTGGAGTCTCAATGTCTCTAACTTTTAACCACTATATCTTGGAAGCAAATCAATTTCTTTAAAGCATTAGTAAATTAAAACTCTCAAGAAGATTCTCATCTCTACAGTTTATGTGATTGAGGTGGATGACAGAAATTTCTAGAAGTCTTATATTTCCCACAAAGTACTCTTGCATTATTAATACAGTGTTAAAAGGGAGATTTAGATGGTTTGCCTGAAATTGTACCTTTCTTTCCCTTGATTTTGTATTATGGTATTAGGTATTATGGTATTAGGTATATGTCAGAGATAGGGAAATATTTCAAATTACTTAGGTCAGTTGCTATTGTGTTGGCCATTAGAACAACTTGAGAATGTTTAGGAAAAAAGAAAAGTAAGAAACTACTATAAGATTACTGCCTTACCTTCAAAAGTTAAATTTCCCCTTTTCTAGGGGTAATTTTCTAATCTCCTCAGGATCAGCTAGAGTAGAATGTGCAGCTAGAGTAGAAAACCACTGATTTAGACTCCAAAGGGGTAATAAACAGGTTATAAACATATGCTCTCACATACACTTTCCCTGTCATTGTGCCGCTGAGTAATAGCAATGAAATCTACAATCTCAAATTTAACCTCCTCCCCCCTCCCTCCAAAAATAAGACTCTGAATGGAAAAATACATCTTACATAATAAAATGACCCATTTATGAAAAATAGGAAAGATGCTATATAGCCCAAAATGAAGGTATAGTAAAGTACAATAAATCCTTTTAATGTAATATTGCCTGGCAATATTAAATTGTGACTATCAATAATTTATGACCATGTGAAAAAATAAATATAAATATATCTATACCATCTGAACACAACTACGAAAACCAAACTAAAGTTATACACAGAAACACACAAAAGAAAAAGAATGTAAAATTAATGCCACACACACACATACACACACACACACACACACACACACACACACATCAATGGAGGCTATTTCATCTGTGGCATTTGCTTCCTTACACTTTTTTGTACTTTCTTAATATTTTCTAAACTACATATATGGTAAGAAACAATTTTATAGTCAAACAAAAGTGACTTATTTTTCAAAAATAATTCTTCCGACTATGTCTAAAGTGACAAGCAAGGTATAAGTCTTAACAATGAACAAAACAAAGATAAAAATGCTCACCTGAGGTTTCTTTCTTTCAAGTGATTTAGTGTTCGTCTCTTCTGTCTCTCCTGCTTTCCTCCTCCAAGTAATTCAGCTTGCTCATTTAAAAGAAAAGTGAAACTGTGAGTTATACTTTATGAACAGTGTCAGCCAATAGCAAGAGAGTAAGGAACTTTTCAGTCAGTGGGCCATCTCTTTCATAGAAACTAGGTGTGGGCGTTGGTGCTGGCTTCCTTCTCAAAAAGGGGAAAGATTTCCAGTTAGGAACTACATCTAAAAGAAGAAGCCTAGATGAGCTCTGACTCTCTAAGGACTATTTTTATCAGCATCTTTTACAACAGATCAAGGGGATGTGATGGGCTTGAGTCAGTGGTTTTAAATGGCTTTTAGTTCACTTAACTGGTTTTAGTTTCCATGACAACAGTAACATCAATATTTTAGCCTTAAGTATACAGCACTTTAGATATGTTTAGAGCACTTCCCATCACCCACTTGCTTTATCAACTTACTTGCCCTCAGGCAAAGACCTTACCCAATCTGCTGAAAAATGCTTCATGGAAGGCTACCGAAGATTGCTTCATTGCTCATGTCAAAGGTTCTTTCTTTCTTCATCTTCATCTTCCTTCCCCTAGTGCAGTGGTTCTCAACCTTCCTAATGCCACAACCCTTTAATACAGTTCCTCATGTTGTGGTGACCCCCAATTTCATTGTTACAAATTGAACATAATTAAAGCATAGTGATTAATCACAAAAACAATATGTAATTATATATGTGTTTTCCAATGGTCTTAGGCGACCCCTGTGAAAGGGTCGTTCAACCCCAAAGGGGTCGCGACCCACAGGTTGAGAACCGCTGCCCTAGTGGTTATACAATGAATCAATGCCACTTTCTTAAAAGTTTTACTCCTTATTTCTCTCATTCTCCTGGTCCTTTTACTACCCCATTGATTGCTTCTTCTTTGCCTCTTTTTCTGATGCCTCTTCTTCCACACCTTTTCTAAAAATGAGCTTTCCCCAAAAGTCTGTTTTCTGACTGTATTCTTTTATCTATGTCTACATTACCTACATATGGCCAAATTTAATATGTCTAATACAGAGCTTATCTCTTCCCCTCTCAAGCATACCTTCCTCCATCAAAACAATACAATCAAATGTCACCACAATGATTTACCCATTAATCAGTTTATAAACCAAGAAGTCATCTTTAACTTCTCTCATTCTCTCACAGCCAGAATTCAAGCCAAACAATTTCATTTGCTCTACCTGAAAAATATTTCCCAGATCCAACCAGTACTTACCTCCCTATTCTCATTAAAAATACTCATCATTTCTAGGGTAGAATGTAGTAATATTAATCAAGAAATAAAAGGCACCCAAATTGGAAAGAAAGAAGTAAAATATGTCTGTTTGCAAATGACATACTATTATGTAGAAAACCCTAAAGATTTTACACACACACACACACTGTTAGAACTAATAAATGAATTAGGCAAAGTTGCAGAATACAAAATCAACACATAAAACTCAGTTTCATTTCTATACACTATCAATTATGATAACATTGAAAAGAATAAAATATTTAAGAATTAACTATAGAGAGAAGATGGTGGCCAAATAGGCAGACCTTTCTTGCACCTCCTGCCAGGGCCAGACTGGAAATACAACTAAATTTGGGAACATTCACCCAGAATTACCAAGTGAGATGCAACTGAGAAGAGACTTATATTAAAGAAGGACAGAAAACACTTGGAGACTATACCTGCACAACAGCTTGCACAACGTGGTTGGGGATGAGCCTCACAGTCAGCCAGTCTGAGAAGAGATTCCTCCAATGAATGGGACAATGACATTCATGACCCTATTAGAATAGGAGAGCCCAAGTAACTCACACAAGGGACATCTGTAGAGCAACCAGCTCACAATATCTAAGAGACTGCACCACTGGGTCCCACAAAACACTTACAACATAAGGCCACCCCACAAAGACTGGGATAGCAATTTGATCTGATACATAGAAACAAATACAAAGGGACAGTAAAAATGGGGGGCCAAGAAACAACCCTCAAGTGAAAGAAAAGGAGTAAACTCTAGAAAGAGCTAAAGGAAATAGAGGCAAACAATTTATCAGAAATAGAGTTCAAAGTAATGGTTATAAGGGTGCTCAAAGAATTTAGTGACAATTTCAAGAAACTTAGTGGGAATTATAACAGCATGAAACAAGAAATAGGAACCATAAATAAGAATCAGTCGGAAATGGAGAATAACATATCTGACATCAAGAATACACTGGAAGAAATCAAAAGTAGATTAAATGAGGCAAGAGACTGAATCAGTGACGTGGAAGACAAGGTAAAAAAAAAAACATGCAATTAGAGCAGCAAAGAGAAAAAATAATTAAAAAGCAGGAGAATAGTTTAAGGGAACTTTGGGACAATATGAAACATAACAAAGTCTACATGCCATAAGGAGAAGAAAGTGAACAAGGAATAGAGAACCTGTTTAAACAAATAATGAGAGAAAACTTCCCTAACCTGGTGAAGAAAAAAGTCACACAAGCTCAGGAAGCACAGGGAGTTCCAGTCAAGATGAATCTAAAGAGACCCACTCCAAGACACAATCAAAAGAGCAAACATTAAAGAATCTTAAAGGCAGTAAGAAAGAGACAGAATGTTACCTACAAGAGAGAACCCATTAGAATGTCAGCTGATTTCTCAGCAGAAACAATTCATGCCAGAAGGGATTGATATGAAGTATTCAAAGTAATGAAAAACAAGGACCTGAAGCCAGGACTTCTCTGTGCAGCAAAGCTATCATTTAAAATTGAAGAGAAACATAAAAAACATACCAAGACACAAAAAGGTTAAAGGAGTACATTATTAACAAACCAGCATTTCAGGAAATATGAAAGGGTGTGCTTAAAGAAGAAGAAATTAAGAGAGACAAACATAGGTATAAAGAAAAAAATGCTAGTAAATAAGTACCTATCAATAAAAATATAAATTGATGAAATGCTCCAATCAAAAGACATATAGTAGCCCTAACCAGTTTGGCTCAGTAGATAGAGCGTCAGCCTGCAGACTGAAGGGTCCCAGGTTCGATTCTGGTCAAGGGCATGTACCTTGGTTGCGGGCACATCCCCAGTAGGGGGTGTTCAGGAGACAGCTGATCGATGTTTCTAACTCTCTATCCCTCTCCCTTCCTCCCTGTATAAAATCAATAAAATAGATTTAAAATTTAAAAAAAAGACATATAGTAGCTGAATGGATAAGAAAACATGTCCCATACATCTGCTGTCTACAAGAGACCCATCTCAGAACAAAAGATTCACGCAGACTGAAAGTGAAGGTATGGAAAAAAATTTCCATACAAAGGAAAATGAAAAAATAAAGCAAGGGTAGTATTACTTATATGTGATAAAGTAGACTTAAAAGCAAAGGACATAACAAGAGACAAAAAGGCAACTAGATAATACTAAAGGGATTGATACAGAAGAGGATGTAACCTGGTAAACACATATGCACCCAATGTAGGAGAACCTAAATATATTTTTTAAAGCTCTTGGAGAAATTTAAGGGAGAGATTGACAAGAATACAATCATAGTAGGGGACTTTAACACCCAGTAACATCACTGGATAGACCTTCCAGAAAAAAATTAACAAGGAAATAGAGACCTTAAATAGTACACTAGGTCTGATGGATCTAATGGACATTTACATAACATTCCACCCCAAAGCTGCAGAATATACATTCTTCTCAAGTGTACATGGAACACTCTCAAAGATAAGCCACATGTTTTTTGTTTTTTGGTGTTTTTTAAAAATATATTTTATTGATTTTTTTTTACAGAGAGGAAGGGAGAGGGATAGAGAGTTAGAAACATTGATGAGAGAGAAACATTGATCAGCTGCCTCCTGCACACCTCCTACTGGGGATGTGCCCACAGCCAAGGTACATGCCCTTGACCAGAATCAAACCCAGGACCTTTCAGTCCACAGGCTGACACTCTATCTACTGAGCCAAACCAGTTAGGGCAAGCCACATGTTAAGACACAAAATAAGTTTTTATAAGTTCAAGAGGATTGAAATTATATCAAGCATCTTCTCAGTTCACAAAGGAATGACTCAGAAATTAATCACAATACAAAAACATTCAAACACATGGAGTCTAAATAGTATGTTATTAAACAATTAATGAGTTATCAATGAACTAAAGGAAGAAATAAAAAAGTTCCTGGAAACAAATGAAAATGATCATGCAAAAAAACAAAATCTATGGGACACAGCAAAAGCAGTCCTGAGAGGGAAGCATTATAGGCCTATGTGAAGAAATAAGAAAAAGCTTTAATAAATTATCTAACACTACAACAGCAACAAAAAGAAAGAGAACAATAAGAAAAGCCCAGAGTAGGTAGAAGGAAGGAAATAATAACCATCACAGAGCAAATAAATGACATAGAGATTTAAAAAATGATACAAAAGATCAATAAAACCAAGAATTGGTCCTTTGAAAAGATAAACAAGATTGATGAACCTGTAGCCAGACTCATCAAGAAACAAAGAGAGAGGACCCAAACAAATAGAATCAAAAGAGGTGAAGTAACAACTGACACTACAGAAATACATAGGATTGTAAAAATATTATGAACAATATACACCAATAAACTGGACAACCTGGATGAAACAGACAAAAATCTTAGAAAATAAAATCTTCCAAAACTCAATCTGAAAGGATCAGGACACCTGAATAGGCCAAAAACAACCAATAAAATTGAACCAGTAGTCAAAAAACTCACAGCAAACAAAAGTTGTGATCTGGGTGGCTTCACAGGGGTGTTTTACCAAATACTCACAAAAGAACTCACACCTATCCTCTCAAAGTATTCCAAAAACTCCAAGAGGAAGGAAACACTTCCAAGCTCTTTCAACATGGCCAGAATTACCATAATTCCAAAAACAAATAAAGACAGTACAAAAACAGAGAATTATAGACCAATATCCCTAATGAACATAGATGCTAAAATCTTTAATAAAATATTAGAAAATCAGATCCAGCAATATATTAAAAAGATCTTACACCATGACCAAGTGGGATTTATTCCAGGGATGCAAGGTTGTTACAATATTTTCAAATCAATAAATGTGATATATCACATAAACAAATTGAAAGACAAAAATCATATGCTCATATAAGTAGGTGCAGAAAAAGCATTAGACAAAATCCATGACCCATTTTTGATAAAAACTTTCAGCAAAGTGGGGATGGAGGAATCATACCTCAACATAATAAAGGTCATATATGACAAATATACAGCCAACATCATACTCAATGG